ATTTTCATCGCAGCATTCTAATTGTTTTATGTGTCCTTCCCATACTAGTCCCATACTAGTAATTCTGTTTCGCTGCCGGAAGTGAAGTGATGCTTTTCTTGCTTTTAACTGTTTTCGTCTCAGAGGACTGTAAAATACTGTAATCTTTGATTGATTTTAAATTTTCCCTATTACTTTGAAGAGGTTTTTGTGTTTACACGCAAATTTTTTTTTTATTGTTTGGCCATTGACAGATGAAATTGACGTATTCTTTGGATTTGAAGTCTGGGATTTACAATTTGGAAATGCTTTCTTTGGCACTTCTATGCCCATTTCTGGCAGCTTATTCTTCCCGAGTATATTGCGTTCATGTTCCCCAGGTATTAAAAATGGTGCATGCTCGTGTGACCATTGTTGAATCTAAGTGGTAATACCAGTTTTACGATGATCTTGATTACGTCGTCAGGAAATCCTCATTAATAGTCTTTAGTAGCTTGATCTATCAAAAAAATTTTTGATTTAGAGATCTGGAAGTTTCAATTCTTGAATGACATTTTTCTATCAGAAGCTAACACACTGGCTGAGTTGACTTGGATATTCATATGTACAAGATTCTCCTTTCCTAGACTGATGTTTGAAAACGTTCTCAGTTCTTTTCCTTCTGAATCGAAAATCGGGGTGATATTAATGACTGAATAATCTTTTTATCGCTTAGGTCAGCTTCTGTCCAGGTATTGGTCTCACCGAAAAACTCTTTCTTGTTTTTTTACAAAGTTAATTTCAGATTGCTGAAAAGGAGAATTTATCTAATTATTTACAGAAATAGAAGTATCAAAAATGCTCTCGATTGTTACAAGATGTACAATGAGCGATTTAAATAAAGAATTCTTTGTTTTCGATGCGTAGGGCTGATTCCCTTTTTACGTTAGAATTCCGAGGGGAATTTGGTTGGTCGTTCTAGTTTTTTGTGTTTTTGATCCTTTTGAGATGGGTCGATATTCTTTTTTCCGTCTTCTACGGCTAAATTGTGTGCATTCAGCGGTCTCCGTTAACAACTTTCTCTGAATATCGTAGTTTTTCTTGTTTTAAGAAAAAATATTTCGGATCCATTCATCTTCTCCGCTGGAGATATCACAATTCCTTGCCGTTTCAGCAAGGGTTTTCAGAATTGTTGGAGACTTTCTCAATCTCTTGGTCTTCTGATTAATAACTTGTGGCGTTAGAACGTGATGTTCGGTTTTTTGACGAAGTGGAGATTCAAGTAAACCAAAAACTCACGGAAATTGACCCTAAGAATTTTTAGTTATAAGAACTTTTGAGCAAGAATTCATTTCTCCTCGTTTTTTAAAGTAGAAATAACATAGATCTGATTTTTTTAAGCATCATTCTGTCTCTCTTTGCCGAACTTTTTCAATTCGATCTTGCTAATCGCTTTTTTGTTTCTGTTTGTCTTCGTATCTATCATTTTCCTCGACGTTTCTTGCCAGTCTTGCTGGATTGTCCTGGTTTTTTTCACTATCTGGGGCTTCTTCGATCGTTGCAGTAGTCGCGATTTCTTGAACCGAAAGATTAATAGGGTTTTCGATGTTTATGATCTCTTTGGCTATCAGGGCCAGTTGAAACATGTCACTCCAATCTTTTCACGTGTGAGGGGGGTCCATCGTACAAATATGGCAGAGTGGAGGTAATAAGATCCCTCATACGAGATTCGTTAGTTAACTGCGCCATATTGAAATGTTTAAATAGCAAGCTCCTAAAATATTAAACTAAAAGAATACAAATTACAGCTGTGTTTAAAGTGTTCTATACAAGGCAAACAATAAAACTGCGACAGATTCACTCCGAAGGAGGGTGCACGTTCAATTCCAGAAATATCCGAACAATTAAGTGATCAGAATTAATTGAATATATCATATCAAGTGAGAGGCTCTCTCTGTTAGTTTTTTGGAAAGTTAATTCAATTATCCAAGCCCATACATAGACAGGGCTAGACAGGGTTGGATTTTCAGAAAATGATTTTGAGTCGACCAATTTGATTTTCCTACTTCTCCCTGAGCACTATAAAAGCCCCATTTCAATTGAAAAAAATTGCTCCTCAAGCAAAATTTTTAAAAAAGTAAGTGAAAAAAAATAAACGTTTTTGGGCACTTTTTGGAAAAGTTTGAAAAGTTGCATTTTTCGGCACGCAATCCCCTTCAAATACCTTTTTTCTATAGATATGTATAATATTTAATTAAAGTATAAAAAAAAACCAACCGTCTCCCTCTCGTCCTTAAGATCCCAGTTTACGAGGCCAAACTGTGCATTTTGTGAATTGTAAGCGGATTCCGCAAGGACGCGCCCTTTGTTTTTCTTTTGTTCTTTCAATTTCTTTGATCGTTCCGACAAAATTTTATCATGTTTAAAAACTTGTCTCTGGAATCCAGGAGCATACAGACACAAAACTGCGCGCCTATTCAGAGCACAGTTTGCCTCGTAATGTATTCCCGCCAATTTTTCTGAGAAAATTGGGTCTTTATAGAGCTTTGGGAGAGCTAGGAAAACCATTTTTGTCTGCCTAAAATTTCGATCATCCTAACTTTTTGTCCAAAAACTAATTTTGATCAGAAATCAGTGACCATGATTATGCAGAAAGTTTTGCAGAATTATGGTTCGCTACTAACCAATTATCAAATATCACGGCACGGGTATCTCAAGCAAAAATGAGACCTAGTTTTTTGAAGGACTTTTCTGTTGGATACCTTAATAGGTTTGAAAACATACGAAGGCGTTGCTTTATCTTGTTCCCATTCCTTGACAAGGCTAAGGAAGTTAAGGACAAATAAACTGACATTTTGAGGGTATTATTCTAGAATCAATCAGACTCAGACGGCATGCATGTTATCATCAATCATCTCATATTGTTTCAATCAATTTTTGCCAATAAATCATGTTTATAACTAATGCTTTCACGTCAAAATCTTTTTGTTAAATGTCACCAACAAAAAATCAATCTATGGAGAAAAAAACGACTGATGGTCCGGCTCAACGGCTTAAGAAAACAAAATGTCAACAGCAAGAGAAACTGCAACGTCATGCTTCATTTCAAATCTCAAAATGACGGGACCTTGTATGTTCAATTATGATACCCTTGCGCAGTTTACCCAGTGGGCCAACTTTGGCATTAAATTTGGGTAGCCGTCTGTCAGTATAAATTCATCCGTCAACGCTCGGAAATCTATGCTAATTTTTGTCCACGATTTTTTGATTTAGTTCTTCGTGAAGCAAGATAAAAGTTAATTACAAACAAGAAAGGGGCAGATTAATAATCAAATTACATTTTATTTTTTGACTGAAAAAAGAAACAAACGTCGCCTTAATTCTTCCTCTTTCGAATGTAAATACCAATTTCAGTTCCTTTTTTAGATCTCCTCTTACACTTATATAATCTTATCCTCTTCATATATGTATTACTACTCTCTCCCACGCCTGCTTTTGACTCGATATTTACCCCCTCCCCGTCAGCGGCGAAAAGAAAAGAGGGGAGAGAGAGAGAAAGAGGAAAATAAAGAGAGGCGAGGGTAAAAATAAAGACCCTAGGGACCTTGAATCCGGTTACCAGCTAACATAGTGCTGATTTTCAGATTCCAAATATAGGATCATAGATAATTTTTAGACGAGCCATTTAAATTGCATCTATTTTGTTGAGAAATCTGTTATTATATTCTAGCCAGTTTTAGACTACTCTAGCCAGTTTTAAATAAAAGTAAAAGTTGTTCTATTTCTTGGGTCAAAGCTTTGTTTTTCGGAACAAAATAATGTTTCACCTGGCCATAAACTTTTATGTATCTATTTTTAGTTAGCGATTTTTTGTTCCACCATAAAGGGCATAGCCTCTACATTTGCGAAGCTGTCTGCTCTTCAGCTAGTCTGTTTTTAACCCATTTTTTACCGTATTTTTAGCCATGAGCCACAAACTTAACCAATGCTTTGTTGCAACGTTCCCGTATCTCCTTTCAATTCCCTCTGCAGGTTGTGATAGTTGCGTCATCCTCTAATTTTTATGCGCTCAGATATGGAATAAATTAAAGGGCAACCATACTCAAGCCAAGCGTCATTGAAATATCCTGAAAATTCTAATTCTGGGTACAGTTTTGAGTATTGTTTGCATTGCCTTTGATGTACAGGAGTGTTGCCCATAAAATGTAGATTTACCCTTGAAGTCTGGAAGAATGAATGACACAATTAAAAGGTCCGGAGTTCATTTTTACTGCCCAGGGACAAAGGAAACAGAGGAAAATGAAACAAGCCAGTTCCCGAGGGAATCGTAGGAAAATGATCTGAGTTCAGAAAATTCAGCACCTGTGGTTGCTAGACAAAGTTAATTAAGCCGATTAAAACAAACAAAATCAATGATTTTAGGGTTTTATGAGTACAAGACAGCGTTTTAAACATCAATCATTCCCCACTTTTGAAAAAATTTAGCTTCGTTACACGTAATAGGAACAAAAACAGCTCTATATTTTTCATCATTCAGCCTTTTATGTACTTAAGCTCAACCAACCATGTGAAAACATATTTTTGCAAAAAAGATCAATGCACAAATTTACTCGTGTATAACATACTGCTGCGTTTCCCAACCTGAGCAGATGATTAGAAATGGCGGTTGAGCTCCTTGTTTACATGGATGGTTATAAATAAATAAAGTAATGTCAAAAAAGGCGCGAGGCGACAATTCGGAACAAGCGACAATTGGTAACAGGTGCGACAATTCGTGATACGCGACAATTTGCAACAAGCGACAATGCGTAAGAGAAAGTTGAGTCGGGAACACTGATTCACGCGCAGTATTCCTATCATGCCGGATGCAAGAGCAGCGGAGCAAGCGTTTGCTACTTGCCAATGTCTTGTTACAAATTATCGCTTGTTACAAATTGTCGTTGGTTACGAATTGTTTTCTGCAGCAAAATCTGGCCCTACCAAAAAAAGGAGTATCCACAATGGGTGTTTTAGCAAATTATAAATTTTTTGTTTGTTTGTAGATCTTCAACCTGGCGAGTGCGGCCATCCGTATCTTGAACCTGATCTTCATGATGATCATCATATCCCACTGGAACGGATGCCTCATGTTCCTCCTGCCCAGACTCTATGAGTTCCCCGAGGACTCCTGGGTCTACGTCGACAGACTTGTAGTGAGTATGCAACTTCTTGCCTTTGTATAATAGAAACTATCAGTCGGTATTGAATCTGGGTTATAATTTGCTCGTATTTGTCTGATTGTAAGCGTGAAAACAACTTGTTATATTATTGACTTTCAAGGCAAACTCATGTCTATATTTTTTGGGTGAATTTTCATTTCAGAACATTTGCGCCTCATATTTCATCAGTATTCTGGAATTCAGCTTGCTTGCAAAAATTTCTTTAAATCTCTACGTCAAACTTTCTGTGCTTCTAAAGCGTCTTAAACTTGTCAGTCAATCAAAATTGATTTACAAGATTCAAACTTGTTTTTGCGCAGTTTTTGACTTTCTTCCTAGCTAACAATTGAGTTTTCCAGGGCAAAGAATGGACTGAGCAGTACAGTTGGGCTCTGTTTCGTGCTATGTCCCACATGCTGTGCATAGGCTATGGTCAGGAACCACCCACCTCCATCATGGACCTATGGCTGGTCATGATCAGCATGATCAGTGGGGCCACCTGTTACGCTCTGTTCATAGGAAACGCTACCAACATGATACACCAGTTCGATTCATCGCGCAGACAGTACACAGAAAAGGCAAAGTCCATTTATTATCTTGAATTTACTTGTTTATTGAACAACCACCCATCATAACATGGTGAAAAATGACTTCACAATTTTTCTCATTTTTTTCTACTTCACAAATTTCCAGTTTACAGAAAAAAAAAGTAAATTTTTAAAAATACGACTTATGAGAGCAATAGTAAGAGAATTGTATGACTAGCATTTTTGTCAGCACAGGAAACTTCATCATTCTGCTAGGTTGATTTTAATAAATTTAAATCCTGATCTTGGGTAAAAAAAAACGATACACATGCAAATTGAAAATCACGCCGAAAAACATGAGCGACAAAAAAACCGGCAAAATTTTCTTTTTGGGTCATCAAAGATCTTAATTATAGTTCGTTGCATATCTTCAAACGCCATTACTGAAACTGTGGCAATCGAATAGCTGCTTAAACCAATGGTTTGTTATCATTCAAGCTTGAGAGGTTTTTGATGGCAAATAGAAAAAAACAAGGATAGCCAATTTTTTGCGTGGTGTTATAAAAAAGATCTGAACGAAAAACTAGAGATTAAGTATACTCAACAGTCATAAAAAAGCAAACTGTTTTTGTAGAAAAATGACTAGAAAAACGGGAAAAAAACAAAAAAAAAATCGAATTTTGAAGTTTTCTTGATTCCAAAAAGGCGCTAAAATACTCAAAAAAAAACTAAGGTTACTGGAGAGAAACAAAATTTCTAAGTTTTAATTTAAGTTGTGGTAAGCTTTTAAGCAACTAGATTAAACTATGCTAAGCTTGATCGCTCGCTTTATTCGCTCGAATTATGCAGAAAACCCAAAATTTTCAAACCGGTTTTTAGGAATCTTATAAAGTCGTTCGAATCACGGCTGTAAGGGCTTTAATATCATTTATCACTCAACTCTCTCCGATGATTCTTTGTCGTAAGTAAATATGCATGGAGAAAAAAGAAAAAAAACAAAACACACCCAAATACGAAGCTCCTCACCATTTTCAAGAGGTCGGAACCATATTCAAAAGTAAAGTTTTAAAATTTTGAATTGATTTTTATATTTCGTCACGTATTGCTAGTCATGTGATTACAGACAACGGAAAAAGCATTGTTAAATTTTTGATATGTATGAAATATATGCAAACAGTATGAATAATGTATTAATGGCTTCTTTGCAAATTGGAAAAACTCAAAAACCTCCAAAAAAAAACCGAAGCAAAACTGGATAAAACTTAGATAACCTCTATGATTTAAGCAAAAAAGTTTTTATCAGTGTTACTTTTTAAAAAGTTCCTTTAGTTTTGTTTTAGTTTGTCTAGAAATAAAGAGAAATGAAAGTATAATTTTAATTAAATTTAAAAATAGTAACTTCAACCAAAAAAAAAGAAAAAAATTAACTCAATATAGTCTAGTTGTTCTGAGCCATTTAAAACTCCAGGCTGCTATGGCATGAACACAATTTTGAAAATTTTAAGAAAAAAACAGTGTCTATAACTCTTGATCTTTTGACAGCCATTTAACGTGTCTGGGCTAGCTTATAATTGACAAAAAAGACCGAAAAAACTTTTTTTGCCTATTAGATTTCTCTTAAGCTTGCTTTAGTTTGGTCTAGAAATAAAGCAAAATAACATTTAACTTTAATTAAAAAAATAGTCACTTCATTTTAAAAAAAAGAAAAAAATCAAGGTGATAATTTGCGGAGTAAAGAAAGCAAGCTTTTTTTTTCAAAACAGCCTCGTCTCAAGTTGGCTCATATTATTACAGATCTGATAAATTCAGAAATTGTTCCAATTTTTGAAATATTTTTTCTATTGTTGTAATCAATCAGCCATGTTGTTATAAGCTGATCAAACCTCCGAGCTATCGAGGCTTACATGCGCAATTGAACTCTGTACAGTCTAGTTGTTTTAAAATTTACAAAACTCTACTCAGATATGGTATGAACACAATTTAAGAAACTTTTACGCGACAAAAAGTATCTGTAACAACACATAGCCCATGGTTTTTTGACTGCCATTTAACGTGTCTAGTGCATTTTTTGATTGGCAAAAATTGTGAAAAAATATGAAATTTTTCCAGTTACGCTCAATGTTCAGTACAAAGTGATACATTTCGCTTAACTTAATTTATCAGTTAGATTAAAAAGAGGGGAATTTCTCACAATAGAGAAACGGAATTATGTAAAATTTTAAAACAAACAACGAAAAGTATTACGGAGTTGACGAAAAGCGAACCTACATTCCTATTTGATAAACATTTTTTTTGTAAAAATGTAATACAAAACTGAGAGAGCGCAATCAAAATTACAACACCAAAAAACCTGGCCGTTGGCGGTTTATGTTCGTCTCCGCTTGCTGCCGATGATTACCAGGTGTTTGATAATCAAACCCAGTCTCAGACAAAAATATCAGCCCGATTGTTTTTGTTTTTGATCAATATTGATTTAGTGCCCTAGACTCAGGCGTTGATCTAGGGATTTCTCAAGGGGGTGGGCAGACTTTCGAAAATTTTTCAAAAATGTATCGACCTGTTTTTTAAGTTGACTAGTTTGATTTTACGAGCTCTCCCAAAGCACTAAAAAGACCCTGGCAAAATTTTCTGCGCATCAGGCAAATTTTTGAAAAAAAACAGACCGAACAAGACGTTTTAATGCATTTTTCGGAAAATTTTGACCAAAAAAATCGCGTTTTGTGTTGCGCTTTCCCTCTTAAAACTAGTAAATATTGGTGCCCAGGAACTTTCAGGAATTTTTTAGGGTCCGTCAGCCAAATATGGTAATCTAAAAATAGTACAAAGGGCGGACCACCATTTGTGTCGGCATGGGGTCGAATCTCTGAAGAAGGCTTCCGCAACACCCCTCGCCCTAAATCCGACCTGCCATAATTTGACTTTTTTGAGATATACGATTATTAGATACTTTTGTTAGATATTTGAATATTGATTTCCAATTTGCTGAATTTTTTTTCTTTCTTCGGTTTACCCTTCACGAGTGATTGCCCCGAACGGGGAGCTTGACTCAGGTCACTTCGGAATGATTTCTGAGAAAGCAAAGCATGTCGCGCTACAAATACAAACCGTTTTCAGATCTGTTTAACAATACAAACCTTGAATGGACTTTTGAAAAGTTTTTGTGCTCAAGGCATTTATATTTTTCAGATAAAAAAATTGCGTACATAAAAAAACTAAGCCCGAATAAATATCACCCCAAACACGGATAGTTCGTCACTTTCTCCTTAAATTGGAATAATCTAAGCAGAGAAGAAGCGGAGCTTTGCATCACTTGCGATACAGCGCAAGCATGGCATTAGGAGCAAGCAAACAGAGACGAAAAGAACTAAATCGGAAAAAATGGCAAATAAAACAAAATTTTTTTGGAGTAATTTTATGAAAAATTCAACTTCAAAAAACAGTCGGCAACGCAAAGATCACAAAAGAACGTTTTTAGCAATTTATCAGCGGCTTTTAAGCCGACAATAAATGGTTAGACTACCCTGGGGCCGAAAACAAAAAAAAACATAAAACCATAAGATGCCAAGGCAAATGAATGACCTCCAGACTAAGTGGGTTGAAAACTGGTAATTTTGAAAATTCAATAACAAATGATCATCAATATTTAACATTTTTAAAAAATTGCTTACGTGAAAAAAACCTAGTGACGGATTACAGGACACTTGCTCTCACAACTGCACTGATTGAAAACGTACTATGAAACAAAGTGAGTGATTTTGCCAGTTAAAAGTTTAAAAATATACTTCTCTGCCTCTCAAATTTTTTCGGCAAAAAGAAATTTTGTGTCACATTCCAATTCAAGACCGGAGCCTGCTAAAGCACAAACAAAACATCAGCAGACAAGCAATAGAACGACAATGTAAGTTTCCCGGAAAACATTCAAATTAAACAAAGATGCTGAAAAATAAGGTCCAGTCGTGACTCGATTGTCAGACGCTAGGATGCCAAGGCAACTGAATTACCTCCAGACCAAGTGGGAAGGAAACAGGTAGCTGGTTGTTAAAAAGGTTAACTAAAAAAGCAACTTCAAATTATTACAACTTTTGACAAACATTTTCTCCAAGAATAAAAAGTCTTTTTCCTGAAAGCAAGACACTTGCGCTCGCAAGAGTAGTGAAAAAAAAACGGAAATTAAAAAAAAAGAGTAGATTTACCAAGTTGAAAAATAAAAATTGATTTTTGTTTGACTTTCGAGTCTTTTCAGCAATCAGAAATTCTGTGACTCATTTCATTTGAGCTCTGAGCCTACTAAGAAGGACATATCAAAATTATAAACAGACAAGCAAAAAGCCGACAAAGCCTTTTTTCCAATTTACTAGAGGAAAAAAAGTTCCAGTCGGGACTTGAACACAAAATCATAAGATGACAAGCCAACTGAACAACTGAATGAAGACTGGGATTTATAAAAACTTACTGATAAAGATCTCCCTTTATCAATTTCTAAAAAATTTTCAAAAAACTGTTAACATGGAAAAAAAACCTAGTTAGAAATTACAGGACACTTGCTCTAGTAAGTGTAGTAGTTGGGAACGGAAAATGAATCAAGGTGAGTGGTTTCACCAGCTAAAAAACTTATCATAAATTTTTCTGTCGCTAAAATGTCTATGACAAAAAGAAATTAGGTGACGCATTTCGATGCGAGAGCCTGCTAAAGCACAAAAAGCATCAGCAGACAAGCAACTATCAACAAATCAAATTTCCCGGAAACAAGGTCCAGTCGGTCCTCGAAGCCCAGACGTTAAGATGCCCAGGCTACTGAGTTATTTCAATACCAAGTGGGAAAGATACTGAGAGTTATAGAAATTCACTGATACGCAGTTTCATTTTTGTATAAAGATTTGTTTGCTGAAAACAGTCTTGTTCTCAAATACAAGAATACAAGTCCATTGTTCCCGAAGGTGTAGAGAAAAAAACGGAAATTTTAAAAAGCGAGTGTACTTATCAACTTGAAATATATATTTTTTGTTAACTGGTGAAAAAGTTTAATCTCGTTAGCAATACACTTTCTTTTG